CATCTAAAGACATTAGTAGGCTACCTGTCCCCTTCCGTCTGATGCTGTGTATTAGGTCTAAAACCTTCCGGGTGTTATCTGTTCCCTGCCTCCCTGCTATAAATCCCACTTGGTCATTGTGAATAAGGGATGGGAGAAGTGGGCCCAATCGCCGGGCATATATTTTGGCGTATAGTTTGGCGTCTGTATTGAGGAGGGATATTGGTCTGAAGTTTGGGCAGTGTGTTGGGGGCTTCCCTGGTTTTGGTAGGGTGACGATATGGGCGAGCAGTAGCTCTTCTGGTAGTGATTTGGTTTGGGTAGCGGAGTTGAAGAGAGATGCCAAGTGTGGGGCTAAAGCGGTCGCGAATCTTTTGTAGTACCTGTTTGTGAAGCCATCCGGGCCTGGCGCTTTATTTTTAGGTAAGGTTTGTATTGCATCCTTCACTTCGTCTGGAGTGATTAATTTTTGCAAAGAAGTAATTTGCTCTTTCGTTAGCGTGGGTAGGGGGACATCCTGTAGGTAGGATTGTATGTTATGTTCTGTCGGGTCAGGTGCTCGCTCGGACTGAGCCAAGTTGTAGAGTTTATTATAGTAGTTAGCAAAAGCATTGCTAATATCTATGGGGGAGATCACTTTTGTGTTGTCGTGTGTGTACAGATGTGATATTTTCGCGTTCGTTTCTGCTCGCTTTAAGCGGGCTGCCAACACTTTGCTTGCTCTATTTCCCTGGGCATAGTATGTTGCTTTGAGTCTGCGTAAGTTAAAGCCTACTCGCTGCAGCGTGTGTAGTCTAATTTTGTCTGCTACTTCCGCGATGCTTTTTCGTATTGCCTCTGTGGGATGCGTTTTGTTTTTGTTTGTGAGGTCTATTAACTGTTTGTTCCAATTTATCCATTGGGTCTGGTTACTTTGTTTCAAAGATGCTGCTCGCTTTAGCAAGATTCCTCTAACTACTGCCTTGTGTGCCTGCCATAGGGTGCATGCAGATGTGTCTCCTGTGCTGTTGAGCATGAAGTATTCTGTTATGGCTTCTTCTAATTGGTTGGAAAAGGGTATGTCTGTCAGTAGTGATTCGTTGAGTTTCCAGGGGCTCTTGTGTTTGTAGTCGTAGTTGTCTTTAAGGGTCAGTGTTAGTGGGGCATGGTCCGACCATGTGATTTGGCCGATAGAGCATTCTAGAACCTGGTCCAGGTGTGTGCTTTCCATATGGACTCTATCTATTCTAGTGTATGTATTGTGTGTGTTTGAGTGATACGTGTAATCCTTTTCTTGAGGGTGTAGGACTCGCCATACGTCATATAATTTATTAATGTCCAGCAATTTAAGGTATGATGCACAGGTCCTGCGATGTTTCGCGTGAACCTCCCTGCCTGCATGGGACGTTGTGTCGTTGATGGGATCTATGATGTGGTTAAAGTCCCCACATAATACCAGTATGCCCTCCTGTACTGGTCGCAATATGGATAAGATTCTGTGTAGGAAGTCTCTTTGATTCGTGTTCGGGGCATATACATTTGCTAGGGTGTATTTAGTGTTGTTGATTGTGCATACTATTATCGTGTATCTTCCTTCCTTGTCTGTCTGTGAGTAGTGGTGCTGGAAGGATACTGTGTTGCTAATTAGTATTGATGTCCCCTTCGTTTTTGTCCCTGCCGTAGCGTGGTATTGGTGTGGGTACAAGGATGGTTTTAGGGTCGGTGGCGTTTTGAAGTGTGTTTCCTGGAGGCAGATTATGTCAGGCTGATCTCTCTTGAGATCTCGAAAGAGGCAATGTCGCTTATATGGGGTATTTAACCCTCTAACATTATAGCTTTGTATTTTCATACTATAGGTCAGTGTCGTGAAGCGCTAGGATTCGTTTATGTGATCTACTTATGGGGTAGGCTGAACTTGTGGCTGATAGTGCATTGGATTTGTTCCCACAATGCTGGGCAGTAGTGTGGGCCTGAGTTGTGTGGTTAGTGGTGGTGATGGCGAATTGCGCCTGGCTTTTGGTGGGCCCAGGGGTTGTCATTTTATGCAGGTGGACGTCACCTTCTTGTTCTATGGGTGCATCTGTCTCTTGGAGTAGTGTCGAGGGGGGAGAGGGGGGGAAGGGAGTAGGGGGGTCATACTGTGAGGGTATGAACTTGGGGGGGGTAAAAACTATAGCCCTTTGGCGGGCTTTGGTTCCGGCTAGCGGTACCATGAGAGCGTGGTTGGTGTGAAGAAAAGAACAGTAGGAAGATTGGCCTGTGTCAGTCCGTTGTGACCGGCGGTTGGCCAGTGGGGTGCCTCTTTGCGGCTGTCGACTTTGCGGTAGGGTACAGTAACTTGGGGCTGCGGTTGTCCCTTGGGTTCACGCTGCATGCTTCAACATTGGGTTTTTTTTTTTTTTGTATTGTGTTAAGTTTCAGCTTGGGGCTCTTGCCGACGGGGGGGGGGTCCAGGACAGTAGGGGGCATAGGTTGGCGGTACATGACTGTGGTTGCTACCTGGCGTGACGCATTGGCTCGGTCGCCTAAGGTGTGTAGGAGGTCGGGAGGGTCACGCTATGGTCTAGTTGTGGCGGGGCGGTTCAGTGGGCGCCTCTTCTGTCCCCCGGTGGAGTTACTTCTCCTTGGGGGCCTCGTGGAGGGGAGGGCGTTGTATGTGTCGGGGCTATCCCATTGGCCTATACGCTTGATTTGCAACTGTCCCCCACATATTATGCAAACATCCAAACCAAACATATTGCAATACATAAGAGGCACCATTATCGTCTCCCGTGGTACAATCCCGCTCCCTCCGGGCCCTGAACGGGCTGTCCCATTCACATATACTCTGAATTGGCAACTATGCCTCATACATTATTCAATGCCTGAAACAATCCCATTGTGACACTTGGAACAATATTACCATTCTCCGTGATGCCTCCCCGCTCCCCCCGCTCCCCCCCGCTCTGAATGGGGTTGTCCTATTCTCATGTGAGCTAGACTTGCAACTGTGTCCCACAAATTGTTCAGATATTCAAGGCGTGTACAATGCATTAAATCATATTCACAATTACCCTTCCCCATGGTGCCTTCCCGCTGCCCCAGCTCCCCCGAGCGTGGCGACTTCCCCTGAGCTGTGTTGCGTCATCCTCTGGGGGGGTCCCCTGCAGCCTTCTGGTGATTGCTTCCAAGGATGCTGAGGCTGTTTGCCTCCCCGCAGGCTGCAGCTGTGAGTGTGCTTCTGCCTGAGCCTACGGCTCTAAAAGTTCCCGTGGCAGCGTAGTGTGTCATTTTGTGTCGCTTTATTGTCCCTGAGATTGGCACGTGTTGTGTGTTGTTAGCCTCCAGTGTGCATGCAGTGTGTGTGTTGCAAGTGAATGTGTTTTGTTGACGCATGGGGCGCTGCCAGTGTTGCAAGGGCAGCATGGGGAGTTATAGTGCCATAGTCACCTGCTTGAAATCAATAGTCCTTCTTCGTGGCCTTTAAACAGTCCCGCTTCTGTTAGTCGTGGTTATTGGAGGTAGCGTATGGCATCTCACGCCATCTTTGCTGCTGAATGTGTTGCAAGTGTGTGCTCCTCCGTCAGGGCCGCAGGACTTTAGTTACGTACTCTTTTCCAGTCGGCTGTAAGCTTACTCGGTTGTGGGTCGTTGTCGCTTCTTGCTTGGTTCTGGGGTTGTATACCCCATTTCTGCAGTGTTTTCCGTCCATCCGCCAGAGAGGTGATAACGTGCATAGCTCCATTTTTATGTATGAGGAGACGCACTGGGTGGCCCCAGCGGTAGGGCACCTCATGGGAACGGAGGGCATCAGTTATTTCTTTATACTCCTTTCTTTTTTTCAAGGTCTGGGCAGAGAGATCTGCATATAGTTGAATGGTGTTGTATTGGGCTGGAAGGTCTTTGCGGAGCCTGGACGCTCTCATCAGTGCTTCTTTCGCATGATAATAGTGAAGGTGCGTCAGTACATCCCTTGGCGCTTCAGCTGGGAGAAAGCTTGGTTTAGCGACTCTGTGCGCCCTGTCCAAGAGCAAGACATCTGCTGGGAGGTCTGGGGCTAATGTTTTGAAGTAAGCCGTGAGGTATGCCGCTATTTCGGGCTGCTTCACCGTCTCAGGGATCCCCCTGATCCGTATATTCTGTCTCCTTGACCTATCTTCTAGGTCCATGATTTTATATTGGCAGGATTCCAGCGCCTGTTCCAGGTTGTGGACATGGTCTGCCATGTCATTGTGTGCGTCTGCGTACTCGCCCATGCGGTTCTCCATGCGGGCTGTTCTATCACCCAGCTCCTGCACGTCCCTTCTCAGGTCTGAGATGGACTTGTTGAGGCTGTGTAGCAGTTTGTCAGACATTTCTCCTAGGCAAGCCTGGAGTATGTTCTGTGTGACCGGCAAATCTCTACCCCCAGGGGATTCCTGCAGCGGCAGCGTGTCGTCGCCATCTTGGCTGTACTCTCCTGTGCCTTGGGCCTTAGGTGGCGGATTGCGGGCGGAGAAAAAAGCGTTTTTTTCGGCTTTGTCGGGGATCTTCTTCCCTTTGGGTTGTGCCATGCTTGAGGCTTGGTTTGGAGGTTAGTGCTGGTCACTGTCGCTGGTAATGTCGCTGTTTAGGCCAAAACAGAACGGAGCTCGCCTCACATGCGTCCGTTCGCGCCGAGCGTTAAGCCACGCCCCCCAGAATTATCATTTTAAATGATTTAATGTTTTTGGATAAACTTTTAAAGGGATTTAACAGTACGAAAAATATTTTAACTTTTTTTATTTTATTGATAAAATTTTATGAAAAATGTGATACTTTAATATTTTGCAAAAAATCATTTAAAAAGTTCAACCAAAAACATTGAATAATTTGTTAAATCAAGATGTAGAAATATCTATATGTAAATCACCCTGTCACCCTTTTCTTGCAAAGTGATAATATTAATTAAAAAAAGAGGTATGGGTGGAGAAGGACGTGAAGGAGGATTTTAACTGAACTTGCTTTGTATACACGTTCTTTGCCGATAAATATATTCTTTTCTTTACTTTCCCTACGGGGAGGAGAGAGCTGTTAGCCCCCCATTTTTCTTTATATAATCAGCTGTATTCCTAAAACGTGGCACATTTTTGCATGTTTAATGTGTATTCAAGGTCTGTGTGACATAAAGCCATATTTTGATATTCAATGCTTATGTAATATCTTTATTCATACTCTAGCCCACACATGTAATATGTTCCAGATTGTGATAATGGTGGATACTTTGATTGGATGAACTGTATCTGTGCTGAAGATTATGTCGGTCCTCAGTGCACGTATCCAATAGAAGATTGTGAGAACGGAGGATATAAACTAGATGGAAAATGTGTCTGCGCCAAAGGATTTAACGGAGCAA